TTTTTTTTACTGGTAACTAGTAAAAATTTATCCAGTCAAAAATCCAGTAAAACTTCCAAGTTCAGCTGTCATTTCCACTCTCTCAATTTCCTCTCTTTTGCTGGCTAATTACAAATTTTTGCGTATGACAACGCCTGTCAGTAAAATTATTGGTGGATAGCATGTAAATGAACTTTACTACCGCAAAATATCGAAAACGCTACCTATTGACCTTCAGTTTTAGACGACATAAAAATACTATTATGCAGAGCCTTCACAGTAGTGCTTTGTAGACTCGTCCAATATCCAGTAGCACCACCCCACTCAATTTTTCGAGCATATTAGTAACTTGATTATTTTCTATTTTTGTCCCCAGGTTATATCCGTTAATGCACCATTGGCTGAGTTATCCGGCTATTCCAGTGTGTTGCGCACCATTAGCTCGGGCACTGCGAGCATGACAATGCAACCCTGCGGTTTTGCAAATATGAATGCAAACGATGAGGTGCGTGCAATAAAAAGAGCGCAAGGATTTGAATAAATAAATGGAAAATATCTGCCTCAAGTTGAGATTTACAACAAATGCATAGACAGATGCCAATGTTATTTTTGTATTATCTATAAATAAGTTTTAAAAATATAGCTATTAACTTATAATTACGTATATTTACAAAAAAAAATGTAAATAAATAAAACAACATTAAATATTTATTCATTTGGAAGTATTTATTTCAAAGTTTTAATTTCTCACCATTTTTATTATTTGTCTTTTTTTATGTAACATTTTATGTTTTCGTTCAATTTTGTTTTGTTAATTTGCTTATCTTAGCAGCATATAATCATATTACTAGATGCGTTTTTCAGTATATATCTGTAAATTATTTTTTGTTAAACATTTTCCGTGTTTACATTATTTTTCGCTTACCTCAAATGTTCTACATATATATATGTATGAGAGTCATGCTTGTTTACATACACATGTACATATATGTATGAAATTTTTAAATGTACGCGCGGCGCTTAGATGTCGTTATTTAAAGATGTATCTTTTATTGGTATGTATATTGGTGTATGAAAAGAAGAAAAAAGAAACGAGTGGAAAAAAATGTGCAAACATAAATAATAGTTTAAACGGTTGCCGGTAATGATTTCGAATTAGAGAATACATATATCGAGAGCATATAACTATTCAATACTATTTATCTGCAGTTTCCGCATAATTGTCATCACTGATTGCAATTTCAGCTTTGAAATTCATTAGTTAATTCTTCTTGCATGCGATATACATACATATGTATACAAGGTCAGCATGAATATCATCGATGACGGTTAAGTCGAAACTGGATTTTTATATGGGAATCTCATTTTTGTGATAACTGCAGATAGACCGTTAGAAATAAACGCTCGTTATGTATAATTATCGCTACCTTTATAAAGAAAGACCTTATCTCACATCGTCGCTGAAAAACACAATTTTCTAATCAGATTTCCGTAGCCCATTAAATTTTAGTTCAATGCAATCGCAAGTTTGCTAGAACAGCTGATTATATTTGTTTTCATCTGTACTGCTTCTTAATTCGCCTTGATTTACGCGTGACGTTTTTGCCAATAACGGGAGGAAAAAGTTTACACATAAAAAACTTTCCGTATTTTTTAATTTCCACGTTGCTTTTTATCAATACACTACTATAGTGGATATCGAGCCCTAACAGCCGAAGAAATTTTAGCGAAATTTTTGCGAAATTTTTTTCAAATATTTCTTTCTGATCAGATATTCATCTAGACACTCTAGGAGCAATTTTGCATAAAAAAAAATATTAAAAGGTCGCCTAAATGTTTTTGGCTGTATGCAACGACTAGTTGTAGACGGTTATAATTGCGTTGCGTTTTTGCAACAACAGTATAATACAAAGGCTGTTGCTAAAGAAAAATTAGATTTTCTGTTGAGTTACAAATTGTCTGCTGGTTTGAGGCAAATTTTATCCACAGTGAGAGCCAAGATGTGCACAGATTAAAAATTCAAATCGGCGTGCATACAGAAGATGCTACTCAACTTGAGGGCGCTTGATCTCGACACTACGATAATGATTTTCAATGTATTTTTTCAAACTGAATCTGAATTTGGAGTCAGAATTGCCAAGATTGGCTCTTATCGCTCGAACTTCTCCCGAAATGATCTTTAACAAGTCTTGAACCGGTACCTAGATGGTCCATTATTAGTCCCAAAGTGATCCCGAACTAGTCCCGAAATGGTTTTCAAATATTATTCAAATTATTCTGAACCAGTTCGAAATGGTCTTTAAAGGCTGCCGAAATCATCCTTAACTACCCTCGAAATGCTCACGAACTGGGCGCGAACTATTGCCTGGGTTCCACAAGGAGCAGTTACAAATTTTCTGCTGGGTTAACTGCAAATTTTACCCATACCGAGAGCAAAGATGTTTACACGTCAAAAAAATGGTAAAAAAATTTTATCGAAAGATGGCGACTAAAGGATCATTGATCTAAGCAGTAGCTCTTAATTAAACTGTTGTTTCATATTTTTTAATAAGACCTCTAAAACCTTACAACAATTACAATTTTTTCATGGGAATTTCGACAGTTCAGTTAAACTCTTGACCAGGTACGGTAATCATTGTGTGTAAAATAATTTAAATCAGCCTCTAATTGTTATATTATAATTTTAATTTTTTTTTTTGCTCAAAAATAACACTGTGCAACAAATTTTAAAAAGTTGGAGGTGATGGGAATTGGACCGTCAGCGACACGCCTTAAATTTATATGTGATATCTTCGACTAAAGTAGTATTGATTTTGGGTATTAGTTGAAAAAAAAATTAATTTAAATTTTTTGAGTCTCCATAGAGGGATCTGAACATTGCTCCCTGTGCGAAACGCCTTAACCGTCTCCAATCGGGAGCAAAATTAATACGTGATATCTGTGTGACCGCGGTATTACCGATTGACGGACTGAGACTGAAAAAAAATTTTCATTTGATATGTAGGTATGAAATTTGTGAGCGAAACCAAAAAACCCATTGTAGTTGTTTATTTTTGAACTTTAAATTCACAACTTCAGATCGATATAAAAAGGAAACGGGAACAAATTTTTTCAAATGCTTTGGTATTTATTCATATTTTGACCTGTTTTAATGTTTGTAATTGGTCTCATTCTCGTCATTTTCGAGTGTTGCACTGTGTATTTACTACAGAGCTTTATTTTTTCGCTCAACGGAAATAATTATTAATTATTTGATTGATCTGATTTTGAATCAGACATTCGCACAAAAAAAATCTTAACAGACTTGAATATTCAGCCTCATTGCGCAAGACGTAAATTAGGCTAAATTGTACGACCCGACAACATTGGCATTGCCTACTGTCGTGCTGAAATAAGTAAACGACGAAAATCGTCGAAAACTTCGCAGTGCTGCCAAGTTTTTCCGTTTTAATACACTAGTCGAGTGGAAATTTTAGGCAATGACGTGAAATTTTCGATACGATTCGACACTCGAAAAACGACTTACATTTAATACGACTCTTACAATGAGGGTGAATAAAAAAAATTTTTTTTTTGCTTGCAGTCAACAATCTAATTTCGTTTTATTTGACCAAGATTTAGCTATGTATATTAGCTTGTGATGGCTGAATAAAACATGCGTAATGATATTTTTTTCGCTCAAAGATAATAATTATTATTGAGTTTTATTTTTCAACTTAAATATGTACATATGTATGTATAAAAAATTATTCATAAAATAAAATAAAAGGCCATACAGACGCAAGCAACAGAAATTTTGACCTAAAAATTTTGCGACTTATTCATCCCTACCTCTGAAAAGGATACGTCGGAAGTAACGCTATAGATCGATAAAATAAAAATCAACTGATAATAATTTCCTTCGAGCGGAAAAATAAAACTCAAATATTAATTATTATTTTTAATCTTTATTGGTTAAAATCGAAAAATAAAATTCATCGTAAATATTACAGTAGGACGTACGAACACAAATGCGTGAGTATAGTTAAAATTGTTTTACGGCGATTACAATTTTGTTTGTTGTTTGTTTGGTTAAATTATAAAAAATAATGATTATTTTCCGCCCCTGCTTTTAACGCTTATAGCCAACTTCACGTAAGCTATTTAAGTGAAAAATTCCATTTTTATTTAACCTAAAAACTGACAGGGGGCGGGGGCGAAAAAATTGTTCACTTAAATTGCTGCTGAGACCGCCAGATAAGTAATTTTTGAGATTGAGAGATCACTTCATATACTAGTGTTTATGGCTGAAACTTTATCATGTAGACATCCAGACATCCGTGAGTAGTCCCTAAGAAGTTTTACCGATTCTAAAGTGTATTCCAAATGCAAATCGTGAAATCATGTGATTTCTTAAAATAATATTGACAAATAAAATCAAATGTGCAGTTCTGAAAGCAAAAAAACAATTACCCAAAACCCTACCTACACCATTTACTGGCGCTGTGTATTTGTTGCTGACCAAAAAGATCGAGGCTTTCTACTTTTTTTTTAAATTTTTTTTTTCTTTATTTTTATTTGATTTTCTTTTTAATATTACTTTTCGTTTAGCTTTTTAAGTTTGCTTTACTTCAATTTTAATACCCTAACTACAGACGTGGACATATGATTAAACGTATTTCTGTTTATATATATGTATATGTATCTGTATGTATGTATGCATTAAAATGTATGTAGTTTTATAAAATATATAAGTTTACAAATTATGAATAATAAATAAGGCAATATAAAGCGAAAAAAAAACTGAACATAGTACGTACAATTAAAAAACAATAACATAATGAATACATATTTATATACATACAAATGTATGTATATAAACTATATATGCGTATAAAGAGAAAACGAAAATTATAGAACCAAAAAAAAAAATAAACTACAACAAAAACAGCGGGCTGAAAGAAATGCTTACAAATAAATTAAGGAATTCAATTTGTGGAATTAAGTGTTGTTTTTTTTTATTATTAATATAGCAGCGTAATTGAAATGTATGCAGATGCATGTGTATGTATGTATATATTTTTCTGCTTCATCTAATGTAAAATTTACATATCTTTTTGTATTGTTTTCTCTAATTTCTAAGTGAAATGGTATTCTCAAAATCAATAGTTAAAAACTTAAAGAAATCAACACAGAAACATGTACTGACCAGGCTTCTTGAGTGATACGACAATATGAAATATGAATTCATACTTTTAGGTGTCTTGTGTTTTGGACGCTTCAAATGATTTACCGTCGCCGTGTGGAAATATTGGAAATATTTTTCGATACTCAAGATCACTATGACAATAGTCATTTCGGCAAGTTTTGCCATTTTTTGGGAATAGAGCTGTTAATTTCACGCAGTTCAGCGACGCTACTCTTTCTATTTGTTTTTACTGTTTAGCTTAAACAAATTCTATTTTTAGGCCGAACTTAACTAACCAGAGTTTTTTACACAAAATTACCAGCGGAAGTTCGACGATTGCTGTCCTAACTCTTCACTAAAAGAACTGGATATCTTAGCAGGTAGCGTTTTCAAATAGGTAGGTTAAATG